AAAATAAGAACTGAGCAAAAACAATAAGTCTTCCCAAACTTCGTTTGGGAGACTTAATAAGAAGAACAGAGCAAAAACAATAAGTCTTCCCAAACTTCATTTGGGAGACTTAATAAATACTAGCTCTGAAAATAAACAGACCTTCAAGGGCATTACTTGTAGTATACTATAAGTTTTATAAAAAATTGTACCCGTGAGAGCGCTAACGAGTCCATTTTCCATAAATTTAATGTTTCCAAGGGTCATAACTCTTTTTAAAAAAGTCAATCATCCACCATTAAAATTTTGTCCGAGATATTGCTGATATTAACCTATAGTATAAGTTCTATAAAAATCTGGCAAGAATTGTACCCATGAGAGCGCTAACGAGGCCATTTTCCATAAATTTAATATTTCCAAGGGGCATAACTCTTTTAAAAAAAGGTGATCGTCCACCATTATAGTATAAGTTTTATAAAAATCTGGCAAGAATTGTACCTGTGAGAGTGCTAACGAGGCCATTTTCCATAAATTTAATATTTCCAAGTGGCATAACTCTTTTAAAAAAAAGTTGATCGCCCACCATTATAGAACTTGTCAGAGATATTGCTGATATTAACCTATGGTTTAAGTTTTTTATAAAAATCTGGCAAGAATTGTACCCATGAGAGCGCTAACGAGGCTATTTCTATAAATTTAATATTTCCAAGGGGCATAACTCTTTTTAAAAAAGTCGATCGGCCATCATTATAGAACTTGTCCAAGATATTGCTGATATTAACCTATAGTATCAGTTTTATAAAAATCTGGCAAGAATTGTACCTCTGAAAGCGCTAACAAGACCAGACTGACGGACACACGGATGGACGTCCAGTATTTCCATGTCCTCCACAACGCGTTACGTGGGGGACAATTATACACAACAAATATGGTTCAAATTATTGATGTGTCAGCTTTTCTATCATAATAAAAGTCAGGGATTAATTTAACTATTAGGGGCCTATGCACATGATATTTGGAATTTCATTAAGATTTTTGTCAAAATTAGGAAAAGATTTATTTACCTGCAAGGTAATATCATACCAATTTAACCAAAATATTTGGATCAAATTCATGCACTTTTTTTCTCTCATAAAGTAATGTTTTGTAATTTTTTACGTTTCATAATGATTATGCAAATGTTATCATCGGTATAACAAATTGTTAAGTCGATAGTTTTATTCATTTTACAGTTCTGGTTATCTAAATAAGAATCACACAATGTGTCCCTACCAGATAAGTATTATTTATCCATACCTGCCAACTTTTGAACATCATCATGGGGCTTTAGTGCATGACAATAACTTCAAGGTTTACAATTTTTTTATATGCATGATTCTTGTACTTATTTTTGTTTAGAAAAGATAGTACATGTAGCTAAAATACCAATGAATGAATGAATGTAAGTGACTGTTGACTTTTCCCATTTATAAATGTGGACAAAGAAGGACATTTATCTGATTCCTTGTGAAGACAATATTTTGAATAATTTGATAATTTAATTACAAGAATGGCAACACTGTAAGGTTCTGTTACGATATGTGTAATGTCCATAATATAAGTTACTATTCAATAAGATTAAGAATATTTTATTTCCAATTAAAGGGCCCTATAAACATGATAAAGAGCTTTTAACACATTACATACAAATACATAACGATTAGACATAAATATGAAATTAAATTAGAGAAATATAAAAGAAAACGAAACAGTTTTACAATAAGGCCAGGACAGAATCAGATAATACAAATAACATCTATAAAATATACCACTCAAAACAAGTATATGTGTGGCTAATTTGCATTTATTAGGTCTTTTCCACTTTTCCGTGGAAAGACCTATTGCTTTTGTTCTGATTATTATTTTTTTTCTTCCGCCAAATTTTGTTCCTTCACTGTTTTGTTGTTTCGCAAGATGTAGCTTAGATATTTGGAATATGATATCGAACAGTTTATACGCCTTTGAAACTGACACAGCGTAAAAAAACACTTTTCTGTGTATGAGTTATCTCCCCGAACACTGTTTTCCTTGTTATCTCTAAAACTTCCCAACCGTATAAGGTTACGACAAAAAATTTTGACCAAATTGTTAGTTATATCCTCAGGATGTTTTGATTAATTTTGACGGAAGCTATCCGGAGACTCCATATGAGAGTTATTTCCCCTTATGCATTTGATATAAGTGATATGCATATGAACTCATAAACCGTAAGGTGTATAAACCTGGAGTCGTTTTATTTGAGGTACTTGGGTCCCAACTTAAAAATGAGGTCAAGGTCAAAGGTCAAGGTCATGTTCTAAATTTTGACATTCACTTCATGCTGCTTTTACTCGGAAAAAAGTTAGGGGTAAAATTTTTTAAAATGTGTTCAAAATGTTAGTTGCGACATGATTTAACTGGAGAGTTTTTGTCGTAATGTTACCATCATTTTTTCGTAGGTTCCATGCCACTGAAATGGAAAAATGAACAAATTAACTAATTATAGCTTCAAACTTTACAGCTATCATGATGCGTACATGCAATTTATCTTTGTTAATCATCTAAGGCCCACAACCACCCCTCTAGACCCCCCCCCCCCCCATTTTTTTTTTGGAATTCCATTTCTGTTTTATTATAAAAATGCTAATCCTTCTTTTTTATGAATAAACTTCTTTCTGAAATACAAGTCCATTCCTGCAAAATTTGATCCAATTCATGTATTTCTGAAAATTAATCGATAAACGTTTTGTTAAAGTACTATAACTCCAGCATTATTTGTGTGTGCATGCAATGAATTTGTCGACCAGTGGTCAGCGATTGGACAATAGTTTACCTGTAAAAAAAATCGAGAAAATATATTTTCCGTTAGCAGTATAAATCACGTGCAGTCTGCTTGACGTTCCAATCTGGATTGAGAAATTAAAATCAATGACGTAGAAATCCCTCCAAAGTTTGTAAATAGTAGTAAAATCCTAGAATCAAATTTCTAAACATGCATTAAAATCAAATCTTTGTTCCCGTAAATATGTGTACGAAAAAAGCATGCATGATCCAACATCAATGACCTGTAAATGAAAGAAAATTAAATCCGTTAGCACATTCTTTATACACAGGTGTGGTCAGGACGATGTCTCCCGCTGCAAAGAAATAAAAAAACAGTCTATCTGACTATATCTGCTTGGTGACGTCACAATCACTGCATCCGGTGCAGGGCGTGCTACCTAAAATAAAATAGGAGATTCCCCTTTTCGAAAAGAATTAAAATGTGCACGTAGATTAAAGACAAAAGATCCATGCAGGTCAGGTCCAATTTCCTTTAAATAAAAAATTGTATACAATGCACACACACAATAAGATCAATAAGCAAATAAGATACAAATTCTGGGAAGCCCTATAAAAAAAAAGAGAACATTTATAAAGGAAAATGCAAGGACACTTTTTGTAAGTGTGTTTAAATCCTTGCATGTTCCTACAAATATCATAATTTGAATATAAATAAACATGTTGCACGGACCGTTTTCGCGTATTCCTAGAGCCTAGGTCTCAAGTGTTTAAACAAGGCCACTAGGCTCTCAATTCCTTTTTCGCGTATTCCTAGAGGCTAGGTCTCAAGTGTTTAAACACGGGCATTACGCTCTTAATTCCTTTTTCACATGTTCCTAGAGGCTAGGTCTCAAGTGATTAAACACGGGAACTAGGCTCTCAATTTCTTTTTCACTTATTCCTAGAGGCTAGGTCCCGTGTGTTTAACCAACCAATCAATCAATCAATCAATTAAGCAATCAATTAACTAACCAACCAACCAATCAATCAATCAATCAATAAAAATCAATGAATTCAATCAATCAATCAATCATGTTTGAGAGGGGAAAGACCGTTAACAATTGTTTTTAAAACAATTGATTTATATTTATCTTTGAATTTGTCCTTATCTCCAGATTTTTAGATAAATTACTTTCCCAAACATTTATGTACATCTAAATTTTCTTGTGTAAATAGCCATGTAAACTTCAAAAAATGTCTTAAGATTGAAAATTATTGCAGGTTAAGGGAACGACCATTTAACTTCAAGGGGGATATGGTTTTTTCCTAAAAAAATATTCTGATCCCCAATTTGATGAAAAAAAATATTGTGGTCAAGCCAATGACAAAAAAAAATATTCTGAATCCAGACTTTCCCCATACATTATAGTGTTTAATTTTGAAAAAAATAATTAGATTGATAGCGTCGAAAAACTAAAAAAAAAAATTCTGACTCAGACAAAAAACCATACCCCCCCCTTGAAGTTAAATGGTTGCTCCCTTATGAAATTTCAGTAAAAAACTCAGTTCTATCATTGTCTATTATCAACATATAGTTGGCATTCAATATGTTCATGGTAGCACTGCAACTCAAATTGAATCAAAGTAAGCAAACTTCATTTATTTGCAGTAAACTTGATTTATACTTTAAGTTTAATCATGTTAATAGTCTAATTAAACTCAAAGCAATGAAAATATCTTACATTGTCTTAGGAACAGTTGTTTTGTATTCACTGTACATATAAAAATAAAAAGATGTGGTATGATTGCAAGTGAGACTATTCTCCACCAGAGACCAAATGATGTAGAAGTTTGCTTGACCATTTGAGTTGCTCATTGTCTGGTCATACAAAGCCAAAGAAGGTACAATTTAACTGACAGACTTGCTAGTGTTTTGGGCTATGAAGGAATTCTGATGAAGTTAGCAATTCTTGAAAGGTCTTTCATTTCTCTGCGATCAATTTTGCTATCTCTTTTGCAGACTTTGCAAAAGGCATGTGATATCCCTAAAGTTGAATATGCCAATCATCCACACTTTTCTTCTTAGCCTTAGGCTTAGGGGGGAATAAGAACCTTCTTGTAAAAGATAAGCGTCCATCATGAGCATGGTTTTTACAATTCTTACATCAGACAGAGGAGTACAACTTAAAACTTACTAGCGACCTTCTTAATGCTTCTAAGTTTCAACGTTTTTGTCTTACCTTGTGAAAGGCATCTTATGCACACTTTCATTTTCAATATCTGCCGCTTAAGTACCCAAAGTCAAGGTCATTAACAAGTATATTTTTTTTATATAGAACAATTTTTTATACTTGTTAGTATCGTTAATTTTTGCTTTTTTATTATTTATTTGTTAAACGATCCATACAATATCCGAGAACCATACAGTTTAAAAAAAAAAATCGGTCATTTATTTTCTTTGACTTAATAGGTCTAGTAAGGTGAAGGTTGTTGACATTCGACCAGAAATTTCTAAACAGCGTGGTAAGGTAACTGTAGCTAATACAATTAATTCCAGTGTCGCATTAATTAAAGAATTGTAGTAATATGTATCATTATAAGACACAAACTGCACGCATGACATCATTCTTGAAGCTCGCATTAAAACACAGCATGTGGTATCTACTTTCATTTCAGCAGTTCATCTACATGTTATAGACGACTTTCAAATCCTTGCGTTTTCCCGTATATTTCCTATGTCACAGTAACCTAATCAAAGATCAATAACTTGCAATATACGCACCTAATCATAGGAACCTCCAATCAACTAATCAATAGACATAAAAAATGTAATCTGAGTGTACACCTTATTGCTATTAGTATTTATTCCAAATTTCTGTATAAGTTCCGAAATTACACCACCTTTTCATGGCGTCACAATCCAGTTGAAGCTACCCAAGGCCTTGTTTAAACAATGTATTGTGCATAAAACTTTTCTAAAAGACATACATCTCATGTACATGTTTAAAGGGGCATTAAGCTGTCAAATTCATGTTCACCAAATTCTCATATTTGGTTTATAACATACTAAATTGTATATCATAATTACAATAAGTCTGAAATAAACAATTAAAAATGCATGGAGTCGATAATATATATCAGCATTTTGTGTGTATATTAGTCTAAACACAATCTAATTAACCATCAAGATGACATCCGAAGACTGCCGATGGTCACATAACCCAATTTAGACATAAATATAAATAGATTGCAACCATATGCAATTGGATTTTTTTCGAGGTCTCTTTGATTTCATGTTATAGGTTAAAAAAAATAAGTTATTCATCATTTTAATACGCCCATCAAATTTTTGACGGGACGTATTATGGTATACAAATGTCCTGCGTCAGTCCGTCTGTCTGTCTGTCCGCCTGTCTGTCTGTCCGTCTGTCTGTCCAGCGTAAACATGTCGCACCGTAACTTGAGAATGTACTTATCCAAATTTCATGAAACTTAATATAGTTGTTTCTTATGATGGTCAAACGATCTGTATACGTTTTGGTGAAAATAAGATTAAAACTTTTTGAGTTACGGGACTTAGTAACTAAAACAGGTGTGTGTTTTTTTTCACATGTCGCGCTGTATCTCAAAAACAATTTATGATTATTGCTTAAAACGTTACACACTTCTTAGTTATATTAATCTTAAGATCTGTATACTTTTTGGTGATGATTCAAAATTTTATTTTAGAAATATTGAGTATTTTGTTAAATAAGGGGGAGGGGTTTTTCACATGTTACGCCGTATCTCAAAAACAGTTTATGATTATTGCTTAAAACTTTACACACTTCTTAGTTATATTAACCTTAAGATCTGTATACTTTTTATACGCCCGTTTACGGGACGTATTATGGTATACCGTTGTCCGTCCGTCTGTCCGTCCGTCTGTCGTCAACATGTCGGACATTAATTCAAAAACGCTTTAACCAATTTGCATAAAACTTAAGTGAATTGTTTATATCTATTGACGTGAGCTCCCTTTCATTTTTTATAAATTTTAGATTTTACGTTTCCGAGTTATGGGGTTTTATTCATTAAAAAAAGGGGGATTTTCCAGTTTTCGGACAATAACTCGAGAATGCTATCACCAACTTGCAAGAAATTGTGGTGAATTGTTTATATCTATTGACATGAGCTCCCTTTTGATTTTTATATATTTTAGATTTTACATTTCCGAGTTACAGGGTTTTATTCATAAAAAAAAGGGGGATTTTTCAGTTTTCAGACAAAAAATCAAAAATGCTTTCAGCAGTTCTTATGAAACTTTGGTGAATTGTTTATATCTATTGATGTAAGCTCCCTTTAGAATTTTATAAATTTTACATTTTACATTTCTAAGTTATGGGGTTTTATTCATTAAAAAAGGGGTGATTTTCCAGTTTTTGGACAATAACTCAAAAATGCTGTCAGAAATTCTCATGAAACTTTAGTGAATTATTTACATCTATTGATGTAAGCTCCCTTTACATTTTCATAGATTTTTAATATGACATTGAGAATTAATTGAACTTTAATTGTTTATAGTCTGACAACAGATTTACTTAGTATTGCGCAACAGCACAGTGTATTGCACAACAGCAAGAAATCTTTAATTGAATATAAATTCAATTCATATACCAGTAACCAATTTCAATTTCTTTGACTACATTTATTCAGAAACCTATAATATGTTAAATATTTAATACAATCAAAATTCAGACCTGTATCAAGCTTGAATATTGTGTCCATTTTTGTCCCAACTGTTCAGGGTTGGACCTTTGCGGGCGTATCCAGCTGCTCTTAGTGAAGCAGTTTATTGGTGATGATTCAAAATTTTATTTTTGAGTTATTGAGTATTTTGTAAAAAAAGGGGGAGGGGTTTTTCACATGTCGCGCCGTATCTCAAAAACGATTTATGATTATTGCTTAAAATTTTACACACTTCTTAGTTATATTAATCTTAAGATCTGTATACTTTTTGGTTTTGATTAAAAATTTTAGAGATATTGAGTTTTTTGTAAAAAAAAAGGGGGTTTTCGCATGTCTCGCCGTACGTCAGAAACTATTTATGCTTATTGCATAAAAATTCACACACAAGACGACGGGCGTATCATGCGCTCATGGCGCAGCTGTTTATTACCTGTATAAGAATGTTTTTTGTGGATCAAATCAGTCAACGAAATGGTTCACCTTTGTTTCACTTTCAGTGTTGACATTCTTTTCCATTTAATGGCTGAACACGCCTAAAATGTGCTTAACTGATTTCTAGCTAAGGGGTTAAATTGAAGGTTACATGAATACAGATTCAATGAGGTCGAATTATTCACTTGCAAGTGAATAATTCATCAGCGATGTTTCCTAGCTCATTTTGACAAAATTGAACTAAACTGGCTGCTAAAAGCGAATTATTATTTCACTATTTCACTTTCATTAATGATTGCACAAAAAAGAAATATTTTTATGCCCCTGCCGTAGCGGAGGGGGCATTAAGTTTTACCCTTGTCTGTCTGTACATACGTACGTACGTACGTACGTACGTCCCAAAATTGGTTTCCGTTCTCTAACTTTAGTTTGCCTCAACCAAATGTTATGAAACTTATACACAATGCTTATTACCACAAAACACAGATCAAGTTTGAATTTTGGTGGCGTCACTTTAACCATTCTAGAGTTATGCCCCATTAGAAATGGAAAAATTGCAAAATTTTTATTTTCTTCTAAATATCAAGTAATTTTATTAAAATTGGAGTTATCTTCCTTTGTCCATGATTATAGTTGAATCAACTACAATCAATGCTTTATACAATGCAATGTTTAATTTTGACTTCCACTGATAAAACACAGATCAAGTTGAATTTGGGTAGTGTCACTTTAATCATTATTGAGTTATGCCCCTTTATAAATCGAAAGATTGCAAAAATTTTAGTTTCCATTCTGTAACTTAAGTTTGCCCTAATTAAACATTATGAAACCTATACACAATATTCATAACCACAAAACTAAGATCAAGTACAAATTTTTTGTTTCCGTTTTCTAACTTTAGTTTGCCTCAAACAAATGTTATGAAACTTATACACAATGCTTATTACTACATAATACAGATTAAGTACGAAATTTGATGGCAAGACTTTTACCATTCTTGAGTTATGTCCTTTTATAAACATGAAAATTGCTGAATTTTATGTTCCATTCTCTAACTTTAGTTTGTCTCAACCAAATGTTATAAAACTTATACACAACCGTTCTAGAGTTATGCGTGTTTACAAATAGAAAAATTGCTGAATTTTTATACGACCGCTAAAAATTTTTGCAGTCGTATATTGGTATGACGTTGGCGTCGTCGTCGTCGTCCGAAGACACATTAGTTTTCGCACTCTAACTTAAGTTTAAGTGAATGGATCTCTTTGAAATTTTACCATAAGGTTCAATACCACAAAAGGAAGGTTGGGATTGATTTTGGGGGTTATGGTACCAACAGTTTTGGAATTAGGGGCCAAAAAGGGGCCAAAAATAAGCATTTTCTAGTTTCCAGACAATAACTGTGGAACGGTGTATGGATCTCTCTGAAATTATACTACAAGTTTCCATACCACAAAGGGATGGTTAGGATTTGCTTTGGGGGGTTATGGCTCAAACCGTTTAGGAATTAAGGGCAAAAAAGGGGGAAAAACAAGGTTGTCCTGGTTAATGGACAAATACTTTAGTACATTTTGTACAAAACATAATTTAAAGCAGTGTAAGGGAGATAAATCAAATACATCATTGAAATTATCTCCCTTACACTGCTTTTAAATTATGTATAAAGTAATGGTTAATGAACAATTAAGATAATTTAAAACAGTGTAAGGGAGGTAATCCAAATACAACGTTTTGGTCACTTCCCTTACACTGCTTTTGAATTATGTTTAAAGAAATGCATATTTATAAAGGAAGACCAGTAAAAATATCTGCAAATGTTGCATCTTTTTTTTTTTCAAAAAAATCCATATCAAAGATTTGACACAATATTTTAAATTCTATTATAAAATAGATTAAGTTAGCACTATGGTAAATTTAAATGGGTAATTATGGTTGCAAACTCCATTGGAAATTTGAATTGAGATTATGACCATATCTTGAGGGAAAGAATTTTTTGGGGGGAAAAAAGGGGGGGGGGGGGTGTAAAAAGAAATTGTGGGGGGTCTTTTTTTTCTCATTTCAGATTTCAGAAATTAAAAAGAATTATTCTTCAAATATTATTTTTTTTTCAAATTTCAAATATTGAAAAATTTCAAGAAGTAATCTTTAATTGCATAGTATGGCGCATTAGATTTGTAAAATCTTTGACCACATTTATTTATTTGTTATGTCGAATCTAACCGTGTATTTAGATTTTTAATTTTGGGTCCAGTTTTCAAATTGGTCTACATTAAGGTCCAAAGGGTCCAAAATTAAACTTTGTTTGATTTTAACAAAAATTGAATATATGGGGTTCTTTGATATGCTGAATCTAAACATGTATTTAGATTTT